AGTCCTCTTCTTTTAGAGAGCTGTGACACTCTGAAGTTTCTCTAGGAGCCCACACAGAGATCTTGTGTGTACTTCAAATTTTCTTTTGAGACTTTGGGCAGCAGTAACTGCCAAGGCTGAACATATATACAGGCTATAATACAACAATTCCACTCCTAGGGATAGACACAAGAGAAATGAGTACATATGTTCACCAAAAGATCTGTACAAGACTGATTTTAGTATTATTTACAATAATTGGGAACTACCCAAATACTCATCAGTATTTGATGGTGAAATGAATAAATAAACTGTGATATAGCTGTATAATTAAGTGCTAAAGAGCAATATGGTTGAATCTCACAGCATAATGCTGAGTGAAAGAAGCCAGACACAAAAGGGTATGTTCTGTGCCATTCCATTTATTTAAAATTTAACAATAGGCAAAATGAATCTAAGAGGAAAGAAATTAGGAAAGGGATTCCTATTGGGATTGGTAATAACCAGAGGGGGCAGATAATGGGACTTCTGGTGTTCTGATAACATTAAGTTCCACGATCTAGGTGCTGGCCAACTAGGTGCATTCTTTTTGAGAAAATTCATTGAGTATGACTTGCGCATTTCTGTATCTGTTCTAAACACGAGTAAACATATTTTTAAAAACTTGGATGGGGACTCTTTTGCTACTTGCGTTATATAAAGCTCTGTAAAGTACTGATGTATTACTTGGGTAATCAGAGAAAATAGTACAGATGTCATAAAACCAGTGGGGGAGTGAGTTGCTTTGAACTCGTCGTGGGGCCCCCTTTCCTGCCCACTTCCGAGCTTCAAGCCTCCAGCCCTCACGTGGGGTGGGCTTTTCTGAGCATACTTTGTTTCTCCAGCTAATGTTTCCTGTGGGCTCTGGGCTTCCTGCCTTTCAGCTACTCTCTCCTCCTGCCCCTGCCGTTAATGGGAGTTCTCCTTGGTGTTCAGAGCTCCCCTGGGCATCTACTTGGCTGATATGCTGACTCTGGGAGCCTCTGAACCTGCAGTCACTTCTCAATTGGTCAGCTCACTAAGCATGGCCCACTGGGCCGCACACTTCACAGACATCATCTCAGCAACGTCTCCTCACAACCTAGGAGGCAGGTGCTCTGATTCTACCCACATTGTAGATGCTGAAGGCGAGTGGCAAAGGCAGGATGTGCACTCAGGAAGCCTGCCTCCAAGCCTTCACTCTAACCACTAAACTATATTCCCAAATGAATTAGTTCTCAGTGCCAGACTTATTTTCTCTTCTTCCCGCATCCAGAAATGATATAGTAAAGAAATCTTATGAAAAGGATCTTAGAGAACAACTCCCGAGAGCCCAAGAATTTCTTCTGCCCCCAGTTAATAGGTTCACAGAAGAAGGCCTGCGGTGCTGTGTCAGGGTGCAGGGGGAGGAACAGGAATGCAGGCTGACAAAAACTCGGGTCTGAGTCTAGGCTCCACTGTTTATTACAGAGTGCCCTCATGCATGATACCTGACCTCTCTGAACCTGTCTCCCTATCTACAAAATACAGATATAAGAATACCTGGGAGAGTTGCAAAAATGAAATGTGCGAGTAAGGTGCCCAGCTCAGGGCCAGGCACATGATAGATGCTCAGTAAATGTTCGTTACCTCCAGCAACCTGTCCAAGGAGCTGATTAGTGGCACATCCGGGATTAAAATCCAACCCTCTGATTCCCCATCCACAATTCTTTCCCTTAGAAACAAATAATGCCTTTCAATCACCATTTTACATTTTAATGTCAACTTTGGTTTCAAAGGAGCCCCAAAGGGTCTTAATAAATATCTGTGGATTTAAGAAGCAGTGGAACAGCAACTATGTCCAAATATATCACTTCAACTCTGGCCGGCCTGAAATTCTTCTCTTTGTCAACAATGCCTGAAATTCAAGCTTCCTGTTTGAGAATGCTAATACTCCTGGGAATAGCCAAGCGTTAAGAGGCTGGCATTCTTTGTTGGCGTAATTCATTTTAGCTTCATTCATTCAGCAAATATTTGTGGAGGCCTCCCTTTCACCTTCCAAATGAGATTTATGCTCTGAAGGAGGGGGGGCATTTTGATAAAGTGAGGGTGGGGTAAGAAGAAAAGTCATTTTGGAGACAGCATTCATTTATTCATTCAAAAAAAATTGACTGGGTGCCTATAACATGCCATGTACTATTTCAGTTGTTGGAAAATAGGGACACTACTGACACGTGGACCAACAATACATGTGTAAATAAAGAAACAGGAGAATTTCAGAAATAAGTAACACACACACAAAGGAGTGCTGTGCTAAAGAGTCAGTAGGGACAGAGTTAATTTATATGGGCAGCTCAAGGAAGGTCACTCTGAGGAGGTAACCTCTGAACTGGGATAAGACGGGATCAGGCATGTGAAGACCTGAGACAAAAATAAGCTTAATGTGCATGAGGGACAGAAAGGGACCCCTACGCTGCAGCACAGCAATTGGAGGTTGAAGAAGGAGGCAAGACCGGATCACATGAGACTTTGTAGATCACAATTTGGAAGCCAAAGGAGTGTTTTGAGGAAGGAAGTGATATCACTTGATTTACGTCTTAAAAACAAAAACCTGACTGCTAGACAGAAAAAGGACTCTAAGGGTAAAAGTGGAAGAAGTAAGAGCAATGAAAAGACTTTTGCAGTCATCCAGGCAAGATGCTGGTGGCCAGGATTAGGGTGGTAGCAGAGGAGCCGGTGAGAAATGGTTGGATTCAGGATATGTTTTAGAGGAATCACCTCAAGACATGCTGATGGATCGAATGTAGGTATTATGGGAAAGAGAAAAATCAAAGCTGATTTCTTGGATTTTAGCCTGAGAAACTGTGTAATAGATGGTTCTGCTCATCAAGTTAGGAAA